GATGAGTGGGTGGAGGAATGAGTGAATGGATGAGTGGGTGGAGGAATGAGTGAATGGATGAGTGGGTGGAGGAATGAGTGAATGGATGAGTGGGTGGAGGAATAAGTGAATGGATGAGTGGGTGGAGGAATGAGTGAATGAATGGATGGGTGGAGGAATGAGTGAATGGATGAGTGGGTGGAAGAATGAGTGAATGGATGGATGGGTGGAGGAATGAGTGAATGGATGGATGGGTGGAGGAATGAGTGAGTGAATGGATGGATGGGTGGAGGAATGAGTGAATGGATGAATGGGTGGAGGAATGAGTGAATGGATGGATGGGTGGAGGAATGAGTGAATGGATGAGTGGGTGGTGGAATGAATAGATGGATGTGTGGAGGAATCAGTGGATGGGTGGGTGGAGGAATGAGTGAATGGATGAGTGGGTGGAGGAATGAATAGATGGATGTGTGGAGGAATCAGTGGATGGGTGGGTGGAGGAATCAGTGGATGGATGGGAGGAAGAATGAGTGGATGGGTGGATGGGTGGAGGAATGAATAGATGGATGGGTGGAGGAATGAGTGGAAGGATGGATGGGAGAAAGAATGAGTGAATGGATGGGTAGAGGAATGAGTGGATGGATGGGTAGAGGAATGAGTTGATCAACATCATATATTATGTCACCTACCTATTTATTGGTCAGTCTAATTCTAATAATAATGATTATGATGGATTATTAGTATTTTTTTAAATTAAATAATCAAAGTGATGAAACCTTTCATTTTCCGCATATTTGTGAACCTGTCATTTTTCCACATATTTGTGAATTTTTATTGAATTTTTTTTTTTTTGGTTAAACGCCTTTCATGTCATTAAATAACACATTTCGATGTGGAGTTGACTGATGAAAGGCACAAAAAACGTAATTTTTTTCAGTTTCCACGAACTCTCAAACTAAGGAAATAACTAACTTTTGGTGGTCATTTTCTCACTAATATTACCCCTGAAACCAGGTGACCCCCCACCTCCTTCATTTGCATATATCTCGACTTTTATTCAAGATAAATGAATATTTTTTCCTCCAAATAAAAACAAGTAAACACGCTTTAAGATGATACCAATAACTCTACATGCCCAAACATTGACGGGAGGCTGATTCCACCACGTCGTGACTCAAATGATTACGTCCACAGGAAAACGGATCAGTCACACACGCCGTTCACGAACACATGCACAACGTCTCCTTCACTTGGACTGCACCGAGCCAGAAGTTGGAGAATATCGTCTTCAAGTAAGCGTGTTTTGGATTTTCCTTTTGTTTTTGGCTTTTGTGTGTTTTTTTGTTGGGTTGTTGTTGTTTTGTTTTTTGGCAATTGATAAATATCTAGTTGAGGTCTCCGTTCGGAATTTGCTTGACACCCTTTACACTCACCCCTGGGTAGCCCTAAGGCTAAAACAGCTCATGGACATGGATGGCTGGTGCCTCTATAAATAAATCATTGATGGTCCCTGGGTAGCCCCTGGCAGACAGGGTCTGCTGCCTTTCTCCTAAATGACCTAAATTATGTTGATGGGGGCGTATAAACACCTAGTTTTTAAAAAAATAATAAATAAATAAAGTGGGTGGTTGGCGGGTGCTCTGGTGTGGTTTGCTTATTCTTTCCTGTCAAACGTCTATCATCCTGATCTCTCATCCTCCTTCTATTTTGTGTTTGCTACTCTCTTGTAACACCTCTAATCTTCGGCACTTATATGACCTTATTGTGTTGCAAGTGCCGTAAAACTCTTACTTAAACTACTTAAACTAAAAAAATAAAAGTTTAGACGTCTTGTTCTTAAGGCCAGATCTCAAGATGCATTAAATATTGCAGTTAAAATATCGTCAAGTGTTCTTATTTGCTAAACTGTCGCGTCACTGCAGAATTTATGTGGCGTCAGTCAGTGGCCTAGTGGTTAGGCTACCGGACTCGTAATCGTGAGGTTGCGGGTTCGGGGGTTCGAGCCGCGAGCCCGACGTTGTGTCCTTGGGAAACGCACCTTACACGAATTTTCCTCACTTCACCCAGGTGGGAATGAGTACACGGCCATAGTCAGCGAAAGGTCTTGTCAGTATATTAGTGTTTTAGCGCCTATAAATGGCTGCTTGCACTGTATGCTTCCCAGAAAATTGAGGTTGTTTCAGAATGCTCTCAGATCTTCTGGGGTAATAGTATAGATTGTGAAGCGCATAGAGCTTGCTGTTGAGCGGGGATTTGCGCTATACAAATGCTACCTATTATTATATGGGTGCATTTATGCAAGATGGTCTTGAGGACATGGAAGCGAAACCAATAAATTGAAAAAAAAAGAATATTAATCCGCGGACAGGAAAATGAGGCTAAAACAGCACCTGGACATGGATGGCTGGTGCCTTTATAAATAAATCATTGATGGTCAAGGTCAAGGTCAAGGTCTTGAGTTATCTCCTTTGTATTGGAGCAGCTTGTCTCGAGCTGTTGCTTCCTCTAGAACTAAAATAAACGTAATATTGTTGAGCTCATTTACAAAAATGAAGGACCTGAAACAGAATGAAAACAACGTGTACATTGATAAGCCTATTGGGAGGCGTGCTGACAAAATGAGTTACTTCTCGCAATCCACGAATGGATACGTAGGCTGAAAATCCACACATCAAATTTGTAAATTTTAAACTGATCCTTTTTTCTTTAAGTTTAATGCCTTTTATCATTCCATATGCAAAATTATTTCAACCTAAACAATAACTTTGATAAAATCTATCTGTGTCCATAAGATCAGAATTCGAAAAGTAACTCATTTTGTCAGCATCCTTCACCTATAGATTTCGAAAAGATACGATGAAAGAAGGTTTTCTTATTTTTAATTTTTAATTTTTTTTAGGGGGGGGTTGGGGATTTGTACTTTGAATTCCACTAGATTTTCCTTTCGAATGTGTGTGTGTGTGTGTGTGTGTGTGTGTGTGTGTGTGTGTACAAGTGTGTGTGTGAGTGTATAAGTGTGTGTTTGTGATTTTCTTACACTCTTTAACTTATACTTTAAGGCGCTTCACCTTTTATTCAATTGCTGCTTTTCTATTGCATTATTGCAGCTGACCAAATATTCCAAGCATTTCTACCCCCCCCCCCCCCCCCGGC